TGTATTCCTATATGGACTCTATACTCTACTTCTAATATTCCTTATTTTTAATTCCGAATTTCAGTTATTTCCTAATTGTATTCCTATATGGACTCTATACTCTACTTCTAATATTCCTTATTTTTAATTCCGAATTTCAGTTATTTTCTAATTGTATTTCTATATGAACTTTAGTCCCCTCTTCTAATATTCCTTATTTTTTAATTCCGAATTTCAGTTATTTCCTAATTGTATTTCTATATGGACTCTGTTTTTTCTTTTTCTCCGATTAATGTGGGAATTTCTAGGCTATAAGAGCGAACGTGGAGGCTCCTTTTTCTATTCCTTTAATAATATAATAGATAGATTTCTTCTTTTAGGTCGACTAACGATAATTGTTAAATTTTACAATTAACACCATTCAACCAAACATATGTTGGGTTGAGGAAGAATATTGCCACGTTAGTGCCGAAAATAACAAATACCTGCATTGCGTAATCACAGCATTTTTTTAGTCGATCGACTCGATCGTCGGCAAGGCGCCGTCCCAAAATTAACTTGTAAAATAATTCAGACGATTTGTCGTAGCATGCATGCAAGCCCCCCACCGAATTAAAAGAGAGAGCCCTTTATGGAAAAGCTAATCTTCCTACTCTTGACTCTATATCGCGGATACTGATTCTGGGCACGTGCACGGGTATATCGCGGATACTTAGGTGCTAATCAATCTACAGAATAATACTGTAGAGAATACACACCATGCATGATCTCGCCTAGCTCATTACCTAATCAAAATTCGCGAGTTGATCAAAATATACGACAAATTAAATGAGCGGTTCCACCTGCTCTATAACAGCAGCTGGTCGCAGTGACCTTCAGGACTAAAAAAACTACAAAATCACTGTAAAATTCATTGTTTAGGCCATGCTTAGCCGCTACACTACTTCCTCCGTTTCATATTATAAAACCTTCTAGCATTGCACATATGTGTGTCTAGATTCATGAATATATATATATATATATATATATATATATATATATATATATGTGGGCAATATTAAAAAGTCTTATAATCTAAAATAGTGGTAGTAGCTTTCTTCCACTTTTTAACTTCTATTTTCTTATTTTTCACGCGCACGCTTTGCAAACTGTTAAATGTTGTGTCCTATTTAAAAATTATATATATTAATTATTTTTAAAAAGCTTTTAAGTTAATATTTAATTAATTACGTGCTAATGGGTAATATTAATTGTTTTTGATGCGGGGCTCCACCTCCCGACCGCAATCTTTATTAGGGTTGTGACTGTACGTACTGTGAGTACTCTCAGTGCTACAAGATCAAGGAAGTGGATGAACTTAAGAAATTTTGGTGAACTTGAATTATAGATTGAAAGACGGCAATCGAAGCCCCGGAGAACAACGACCCTAATTAACTTGCACCATATTATGATATTAATCAACGAATTATATATACTATCTGCTGTAGCTAGCACACGCCTACCGTATTTTCTGCATCGAAATTCTGTTTAATTTGTTTAGATATGATTGGATGCACATACATACATATACATGTGTAAGCTAGTATACCTACTTATTACTTGAGTCTCTGATCACTATAATCTGAAACTACTTTTAAATTTTATAATTTGATTTTTAGTTAACTTCGGGGATTTTCTTCATTCTCTTTTCACGATTGGTAAAAAGAAAAACTTTAACTTCAAATTTTGTTTATGTACAATCGGAGAACAAATATATAAAACCAAATAAGTATATGATAGCATAGAAAAGTTTTAGATCATGAAGATAAGATGGGGACATATAGTAGTTTTATTGGGAAAGTAATTACACATACTGAGTGCCGATGTTTACACACACACATACCTGAAAAAGGAAAGAGAAATTAAGACACTTGCGTGAATAAGAAAAAAAAAAAGATCGATCAGAAGTGCACCACTTCAGAGTAACTAGTTGCACAAGCCATACATTGCATGTACAATGAACTACTCTATATATAAGTATGCACGCATAGCTAGCTGCTAGTACCATGCATGCATGCGAGGCTGCGAGCTGCTACCTCCGTCCAAAATATAACAACTTTTAACTATGAATCTAGATATTGTGTTTAGATTTATAGCCAAAAATTACTATATTTTAGGACGGAGGGAGTAGCCAGTAGCTTTATTGAAATAACAAAGCAACATTGATCTATGAAATGACAAGCAAGAAGAGAGGAAGCTAGCACGGAGGACAAATGCCGGCGCCGCCGCCTCCGGGGTCATAGTTGGTGCATCCCGACGGCGACGAGCTCCTCTTCAAGCCCCCACCGCCCGTCGCCGCCGCCGCCGCCACCGGTGAGATGAGATGAGATCCGGCGTGGCGTTTGCGTCGTCGTCGTGGCTGCTACTAGGCATGAGATGAGATCCGGGCGTGGCCACCGGGCGCGCGTGGAGAGGGTGGAACTGGGATGCCGCCGACACCAAGAGCAGCATCGCCATAAGCGCTGCTGCTGCTGCAGACATCTCGTTGCCTTTACTCTTGCTTATCCCCTGCCATATATTATACTCCCTTAGTTTCGAAATGTTTGACGCCGTTGACTTTTTATCACATGTTTGACTGTTCGTCTTATTTAAAAAATTTAAGTAATTATTAATTCTTTTTTTATCATTTGATTCATTGTTAAATATATTTTTATGTAGGCATATAATTTTACATATCTCACAAAAGTTTTTAAATAAGACGAACGGTTAAACATGTGCTAAAAAGTTAATGGTGTCAAACATTTATAAATAGAAACGGAGGGAGTATATAGCTTGATGCTTAACTAGCACTTAATTAAGCTACTCTCTAGCTGCTAATCAAGAGATGCTTTTGGCCAATACTATTATTGTAGGTAGCTAGCTAAGTCACTCGACCTCACGTGTATATGTATACAGGGGTGGAGCTAGAATAAAATGGAGGGAGCTGCCACTTGATTAATTTACTCTACTTTATATCGAGTTTAATTAAACTGATGTGGGTATCTAAAAATTTTTATTGAGAGTGGTTATACATAGTGAAGATAGATGAGTTATAGCTATAAAATTTTTTTAACCGGGTTTCTGGGTACCCCTCAATACCCTAGCTCCGCCCGCTTATATATATAGGCATGGCGATTCTACTAGTATTCATAGTGGTATTAATTTACAAATTAATATAATTAAGTACGAAAGCAGATGTCCTAACGCGCGTACGTGTCATGTTTCTTCGAGGAAAAAAAATGAATGAGTGATTCATGGGGCTGCATATAAGTATGCATTTTTTTTGGCGGGACCGCTGATAAGTGTATATGAGGTTTTTTTAATATTGTTGAGAGGTCCCTCAAGTACCTCCTCCTTCAGTAAACATGCACCGTTGATTCATTAAGGATATCTTGGAAATAAAAAAAATGCAAACATGGGTAATATAGTATTAGCTAGTTCTTAGCCCTAACTGTCTATCTACTTTCTAGGCTATGCTGCTTATCTAATTAATTAACCTGCTTTCTAGGCTATATATGTTGCTTATCTATTGTACACACTTGCTAGGCATGCAGCTGGTGGAAGGTCCATGGTCGATCATGCATATACGCTCTAACGTACAATCAGTGGCGAATCTTAATTAGAATGTAAATGGTGGGGCTTATGTACAAATATAGTAGTGAGATTGAAACAAACCCTTTTCGATGACAAGCAACAACCTATTACTTATCTATTTTAGTTTACAGCAATACTAATATATCCACACAAATATGTGAATAAATTGGTATAGACTAGAGCACATTCTGACACTGCAACTCAATTTGGGCACTGGGCCCTTCAGCTAGCTTCTTTGCCTTACTGCTAGATTTATATTAGTCGTTAATTAGAGTCATTAGTATCTAATTGGAGGCCGGGATGGAGCTGGGGCTTGCGCACCAGCAAGGCTCAACAGTGGATTCGCCACTGCGCACAATATGCATGTGGAACGCACATTTCGCGATCTATAAAGGCTTAATGGCACGAAAAGGGAACACAAAATGACAAGAGTCGTAATGCATGCATTGCATTAGCTTGGAAGTACTGCTTAGCTCACAGATTCTGGGATATGATTAACTATATACATCAGAGAACACTTGGAAATTTACAAATTACAATGGCCGGCCGGCACTTCGATGAGTACCGACATTACGTTTTTGTTCTAAAAAATCCGTAGTTAATTTGCACTACTACAAAAACGTCCATAAGGAACGGCATTATAGGTGCCGGTTTTATTAGGCGCTTCCCGCCTTGACCTAGATGAAACATGAGTTTTTGTACCGGTCTTAATTCAAAACCGGCACCTATTCTCCTTCCGCCAACGCCCACCAACCAAAATTAATGACCATCGCTGGGTAAAACCGACACATATACTACAGGTGCCGGTTGTAATCAAGATACGGCACCTTTTCTTTGGTTAAAGGTGCCGGTTTTGGACCTAACCGGCACCTATTACCCTTTCCAGCTCAGCCTATATATACTCCCTGACGTGAGCTCGCCATTTGGGAGGTCTTCTTCTTCTTGCTCATACAAAGGGGGGAGGTTTTGCCCAAAAATTGAGAAGACACCCAGAGATCTATGTGTTTGCATGCCTAAAGGTTAGTTTATCTTGAATCTATATGTAATTTTTCTTCATTTTTGTGATTGTCGATGTAATTTTTCCTCAAAATCATTGATATGTAATGTAGATGGTATAGTGCACGATTTTTTGATAAGTAATTTTTGTAATTTGTCTTGTTGAATTTGACAAATAATTTCAATCTTAATTTGGCTTGAGATGATGATTTGAGACCAATGAGTTATTAATCTTGGAGTAATCTATGAGTAATGTACCTATGTTTGATAATTTGAAATATTGAGTAATGCAAAGAGTATTAAATCATCGAGTATTTTAGATATTAAGATTAGTAATTATGATTTTTGATTGATTTTCGGATTTAATTGATATATGTATGTGAGCGGTTAATTTAAGAATTTTCGTAGGACAGATGGATGAAGGAGGGATGAACGGTGCGAAGCGCGGTACCTTGGAGTATGCAAGGGAAGTAACAAACTTCGTGATCGCTACCACGAGTTCCGGATCGTTGAGCTTGACGGAATACTTGCATTGTCCATGTACTGATTGCAAGAACGAGAGCCGGTTTCCTTCAAAACAAGTTCACAAGCATCTAGTAACAAGGGGTTTTATGCGTAATGACACATGTCAGGACAATCACGGTGAAGATGAGAATGAAAGAGTGGACAATCAGGGTGATGTAATGGACGAAGACAATGTGGAGTTGACTGCTGATGGAGGTGGATATGACAGTGGCGAATCAGATGGTTTGGATCAGATGCTACGTGATGGGGAGACAACCTACGACAATGACAGACAATACGAGAAGTTCGAGACCATGGTGGAGGATTCAAAAACCCCGCTTTATCCAGGATGCAAAGAGCAGCACACCAAGTTGCACGTCATACTCTCGTTGCTGCAGATGAAAGCAAGTAATGGTTGGAGTGACAAGAGCTTCACGGAGCTTCTACAGCTGATTGGAGACCTACTTCCAGCGGGACATATACTACCAGAAACAACATACCAAGCGAAGAAGGTTTGGAATATAAGGTTTGGTCTGAGCACAGACGGGATGAATCCATTCGGTGACATGAGCAGTCGGCATAGCACGTGGCCAGTGGCACTTGTTATCTACAACCTTCCTTCGTGGTTGTGTATGAAGCGCAAGTATATCATGATGCCACTTCTAATCCAAGGGCCTAAGCAACCTGGCAACGATATCGACGTCTACTTCAGGCCATTAGTGGATGATCTTAAGTTACTATGGCATCGGGGTGTGCAGATGTGGGATGCGTACAAAAGAGAGTACTTCACCTTAAGGGCAATGTTGTTCGTTACCATCCAAGATTACCCCTGCGCTGGTAACACATCCGGGCAAATAGTGAAAGGTGGTTGTGCATGTTTGCAATGCATGCGAGACACAGCGAGCAGGTGGCTAAGGTACTCCGGAAAGACGGTGTACATGCGCCATCGGAGGTTTCTTCCAGCCGACCACCAGTATCGTAGCAATACAAGAGATTTTGATGGCACGGTGGAGCTCACTACAGGATGGTACACATTTGGAGGCGAGCTAATCATCCTAAAAATCCCAAAAAATCCGCCTCAGAATATGTATTGAGGCCAACATGCACTGCCTCGGATACTCCTGCCTCAAAATAGTATATTGAGGCAGGCATAAGAGTTGGCCTCTAAAAGGTGTATTTGAGGCTAACCATGTATGCCTCAGAATTTGATTGAGGCAGACCGCATGCCTCAATGCTAGGGTACGCTACCGAGGCTATTATTGCTGCCTCAAAACAAATTGAGGCAACTGTAACCTGCCTCAATGTAGGATGCATCAAATTAATTATATTTCCTAGATTATTGTTGTGGGAAATACACATTTTCATCATCATGAAAACTTGACAATTGAAACAATAAGAAATTAAATAGTATCCAAATCACTTCATTTCATATATTAGCAGTACATCTAATCATACATGTCCAATAAATAATACATAGCATCTCATCCGTCACTGTCACGCCCTGAACTAGCCCCGAGCGGGACTAGCCCGTGACGCTCCAAATTAACCTGTTAATCGATACCAGTCCCAGGAAACAGTGCTGGTATCACAGGAAGACAGAATATCACAGCAACAAAGGTCTCTTTATTATAGAGTAGGAGTACAGTCATGTTGGGCTGCGGACAGATCCCGAGCTCACAACTGCATTACAAAAGGGAAGCGGAAGCCAAGACTTGGACCACACATCACAGGCGCGACTTGGGAACTAGGCCGAAACCCTAAAACTCATCGTAGCCGACTTGCTCCTGGAAGAACTCCTCGTCAGCGGGATCCGCTTCATCTTCTTCAGCAACTGGGGGAGATTATTTATATAGAGCAAGGGTGAGTACAGGAGTACTCAGCAAGCCATGGGAAATAAGTGTTTAATGCAGGCTTCAACGGGAAGGCTGCTGTTTTTGCAATTGATTTTATTTAAACTCTTTTCTGAAACAACTAAGTGAGTGATTCTCAAACGACACGGATGAGACAGTGCGTCTCGTCCGGTCGGAGTATGTGCAATGTATCAGTCTTTTGAATTGATCAAGATTGGCACCCGGCCAACAGCTTTCAAACGGCCTCCCGGGCCTGGCTGATCCCATCAGCCGCAGATTTTCCAAACATCGAACCCAACCACATCAGCAAATTTCACAAGCAGTAGTCAAACAAAACTACGCTAGGAATCACCTCACATCCACCCATGACCGTGGGCACGGCTGTTCGAACAGTTTAATAACCTCTGCAGAGGGGGTACACTTTACCCACACGACATTACTAACCCGGATCATCCAGCCCGTGCAGAACGGCAATGACTAGAGACCTTAAGGCTTTCATGACAAGGCATTTCGAAAGCCGACACAGGTTCACCATATGCCAACGAGAGGGGTCCCAGACCAACACCAGATTAGGTCCCAGACCATACTGTGCCAGGAAACCCGGGGGTTCTCCCCGACACCACCCCGTTGAATCCACATGTCTCTTGGCATCATGGCTCCCCCGATTAGCTAGTTACTCAGCCAGGGGTGTCCCATTCCACCCATGTGGTCGTACTTGTCTTATGTTCGGATGAAATTCCAAGGAAACGGTCCTTAAGTGCAAGAGCGGGAGACCGTACACCCGGTACATTCCCCGGTCCGCGATTTTAGAAATTCATTTAGTTCGCAAGCACCGACCCAGGTGTCGGGTTTTCCAAGTCTTTTGTAAAACCCAAGTTTTACCCAAGATGTTTCTCAGATTTTAAGTTTGAAGGCGACCGTCGATACTCGTGCAGAGTGCACGATTACCGAGGCTCAACTAGGTGGTTACAAGGGAACATGGTATAACAATTACAATGTAAGGGTCAAATGCAACAAGTTAGGTAGGTCTGCCAATCTGCCTTGCAGACGGGACAAGCAGATTAAGTGCAATCCTATCAATGCATAATATTTTGCAAGCAAATTAATTAAGTTCAAATATAGGCTCAATATGTTCAAAGGTGGCTTGCCTTGCTCGAGATCTTGAGCTTGATCCTCGAAATCCTCGCACTGCGGGTCTTCGGGCTCCGAAACTACACGTGAAACGGGACAGCTCAACAACGGAGAAAATAAAGCCCTATTATTGACCTCTAGGCGTGCCATTAGATAGATCTCGAGATTTGAGGAGTTTTGGAAGTTGAACGGAGTCAAACGGACTTACGGTTGGGAAGATATTGAATTTCTAAGATTATTGGATTTTTGGTCTAAAGGAAAAGGATTTATTTAAATCCTTTTTGAAAAGAAAAGGAAAGAAAAGAAGGAGGGATGGCAATTAGACTTCCCTCGGGCGGCTAGGGCGCGGCCCGAGAGAAGGGGCGGCTCGGCCGAGCTTAATGGGCCGGCGGGCCCGAGAAGGCGGCCCAAAGCATGCGCGCGGGCGGGGAGGAGAGAGGAAGTCGGTGGGCCGGGTCCATCCCGCGTGGTCCCGAGTGGGACCCTCTTGTCGGCGGCTCGGCTTACCGTGAGCGAGGTGCACGTGGGGCGTGCTAGGGTTTGGGGAGGGGAGGCGCGGCGCATGCGCGCGGTTCGCGGAGGACGCGGTGCGGCGGGCCCACGCGCAGCCTCACGGCTCGCGGTGGACCGCGCGCGCGAGGGGGCGGAGGGAAGCGGTGGACCGGGGTCTGCTTGACCCGGTCGCGGCCGAGGTGGCGCCGACGCGGCGCCTACGTGGCTGCCACGCGGGCTGGCGAGAGGAAGACGAATGGGAGCAATGGCCATGGCAATGGCGGCAATGGCGCGGTGGAGCGAGGGCGAATGGGAGAGGAAAGGAAGGGGGGGAGCTTGGGTTTATATGGGCGACAATGTCGGTTTGGGAGGGGGGAACCGACATTGGACGGTCAAGCCAGCGAGCTGGCGCTCCGGCTAGCGGCCAAATCGGCGACAGGGAGGAGGGGAATGACGCCGGCGGAGGAAGAGAAAGAAAGAAAAAGGAAGGAAGAAATGGGGCTTGCCCCTTGCCACTTTGGGAAAAGGAGGGAACGGGGGCGACGCGGCAGAGGGAGGAGGAGCTCTGCCTCCGTCCCTTGGAGGCTAGCTAGCGCGCGGAGTGGCGGGGGCCGGGTCGATGACGACGGCGATGACTACGGGGGCGATTTGGAGCGGAGCGACGACACGGGCAGGCGCGGCAGGCGCTGACGGCGGCGGCAACTGGCCGGTCGGCCACCACGGCGCGCGCGCGCGGGCGGCGCGGCGATTTGGGCGGCATCGGCGGGAACGGCAGCGAGAGCGGAGAGGGAGGGCTCGGCGCGGCTCACGGGCAGAGCGGGGAGAGAGAGAGAGAGAAAGAGAGAGAGAGAGAGAGAGATGGGGAGGGAGGAAGAGATCGGCCGAGAGGAATTCGGCCCATCGAACCCGAGGGAGGCAAAATAGACTTTTGCGGAGGGATTTGATTTGGGAAGGATTTGGATTCGGGATTGAACTTGACGATAGATCGGGGCTTTGAGATCTGAGATGGCACGGACACTAGACAACAAGCAAAGAAACGAATTTCGCAATTAGGGTTTTTAAGAGATAGTTTTCCCGCTAGGCGCCACGACGGAACGGGCGCTACAGACCAACCCCCCTAACAAGAATCTCGACCCCGAGATTCAGCACCTAAGGGAGCAGCTCCGGGAACTCGGCGCGGAGAAGATCTTCTCGTTCCCAGGTTGCCTCATCTTCAGAATGATTGCTCCATTGGATCTTGTAGAACTTGATGGTCTTCCTTCGGGTCTGACGTTCTGCTTCTTCAAGAACCTTGATCGGTCTTTCCTTGTAGGTCAGATTCTTTTCCAGCTCGATATTACCCAGGGGAACTTGTTCTTCTGGAACTCGAAGACATTTCTTCAACTGGGATACATGGAACACGTTGTGCACATCTGCGAGACCTTCAGGTAACTCAAGCTGATAAGCCACTTCGCCACGTCTGGCGGTTATGAGGTAGGGGCCGATGTAGCGGGGCGCTAACTTGCCGGACATCCCAAACTTCCTCATACCACGGAGAGGTGATACCCGCAGGTACACATGGTCTCCTTTTTCGAACTCAAGATCTCGCCTCCGATTGTCAGCGTAATTCTTTTGACGGTTCTGAGCTGTCTTTAAACGTTCTCGTATCAGCTTAACTTGTTCTTCTGCTGCCTTGAGTATGTTAGGACCGAACACCAGTGCTTCGCCAACCTCATTCCAGCACAAGGGAGTGCGGCACTTTCTTCCAAACATTGCCTCATTCGGCGACATCTGAATGCTGGCCTGATAACTGTTGTTGTATGAGAACTCAGCGTACGGCAAACAACGATCCCAAGTGCCTTCAAAATCCAGGGCACACGCACGTAGCATGTCTTCTAGGATTTGTCCCAAGTGTTGAGACAATCAACTACTCAAAAGTGTAGATATATAATTACTGCTCATGTTTGAGCTATCTCTGCTAAGAAGTTCTCGCCAATTTTCTATAGTTGAACATGATCGACAATCATCACCGTTTGAGAGAAACTCGAGCACCTGGAGTGTAAATATGTTAAATTCAGTTAACACAAACAAACAATGTCACTATCTTTATTGAAATAAAGAACACAAAATATGATCATGATCATGAACAATCCAAAGTATAGCAGGAACTAATTATACACAGAAGGAAATGCTAGAGACCTGTGATTAAACATTTTGAACAGAAGTACATTTCTATGTAAAATAGACTGCACCTATTGAGGTTTTAAAGTATATGGCAATCCAAATTACAATAGCATTTCTATCTTTTGCATACTTATATTTTGCTCAATGAAATTTCCATAATAAAAATGATGTAAATACTCTATATATACCCAACATAAATGGCACATATACCTGTTTTTGTCACTTCCCCATTGCACTGAGGTGACACTTCTTCAACCTTTCAAATTGATATTTACCATCTTAGACTTGCTATGTAAACTAAGCAATAAAATAAAGAAGCCAAGAAAGGAACATACTAGTTGGGATGGCCATGCAATGCAATGACCAATAGCGTCTCTAATATAGTTCAAATTTCTGTGCGGCCGGAACAATTCAGCATCTCCACATATAAGACTGTCTATCACTACTTTGTAGCACTCCCTTCCCAGCATTGTTCCTCCGACCATTTCTAAGGGGTCTTGACTTTGAATAGTAGCTCTTGCAACACGGTTATATGGACGGACAATTCTCTTAAGAAAGACATCCCTTCCAACCTATTTCAAAATGTGGCCACATCAGATTTTATTACAGAGTAGAAAGTAGAATAGTTGCTACTGTTTTGTAGTAATAAAAAAGAACTAACCACATTTTCACAAGCTAATGCTGCCCTTTTGACATTAGCATGTTTAGTTGTTCCCACATTGGCCCCTTCAATTTCAGTAGGCTTGTTGTTATTGTACCTGGCCATATGCTTCTGTACCCCCTGTTACACAATAGAAGATGTTACTGTTGTCAACCTATTAGCATGCATTAAGCAACAGAAATGCATGGTGGTAATATAGTGCGTTCCAAATAAATACCATATATCCATATACAAACCTCAGCAGCAATTTGAGTGATCATAGTTGGAACTTTAGAGCGTTTACTTGTGGCATGATTGCTTGTTGTTTCTCCACAACGTTTTTTTTGTCATTTTTGGTTGCTTGGTACAATTGTGATTGTCCACATCTTTTTCTACCCCCTGTTGTACATTACATGTAGCATCAACCCTACTCAATGAATCCTACAAGACTTAAGATATGTTACAGTTTGACTTGAAAAATGAAGTAAAATCGATGTTATTCAGCTCACCTTCGTAACATGCATATTTTGATTAACTTGCGATTCTCTGGCAACTCCTGGTTGCACCTATATTCAACAAAAAAAATAAAGAAGTTTATACTAATTCCAAATAATACTAGTGCATTGACTTGAAAAATATGAAGCAAAGTCATTGTTATTCACTCACCATCCCATCATGTCTGTTATGATTAAGCTGAGATTCTTCAACAATTCTTGGTTGTACCTATATTTTAAAAAATAATTCTTAATGCTACAAACAATACTAGTGCATTGACTTGAACAAGATAAAGTAAAGTCGAAGTTATTGTTAGTGCATCGTACTAAGCACAACTACTATCTGTTCGAGAAGAGCTTGACCAGGGGACAAACAAAGAAGAATAAAGCAACCAACTAGCTATGAGAAGAATAAAGCAACTAGCAAGCTAGATGGCTACCTGCATTTCATTCACAAAAAATCATATTTCAAACTAACATGCACCAGCTTCTAGACTATTCTAGACCATGTCCTAACTTTAGGACTATTCTAGAAGTACTTCGGACGAAGGAAATGAATTAGTTTCCATTAGCTCACCTTCCTAGCATGTTTGTTCAGATTAAGCTGCAATTCTCTAGCAATTCTTGGTTGTACCTGTATTCAATAAAGGAAAAAAAACCATTAGATGAAACTAGACTAGCACATTCAGTTGAAAAATATGGAGAAAAGTAAATGTCATCCAAGTTACCTTCATAGCAGGCCTCTTCTGATTTAGTTGCAATGCTTCAACAATTCTTGGTTGTATCTAAAATCAAGGAAAAAAGATAGAAGTTTATAGTTCCTGAATAATAATACCAGTACAATTGAGGTTATGCAAAATGAACTATGATCTTTTACATTGTTTGAGGCGGATGAGCATGAGTGCTCCTCAGTTGGCTTATTCAAGGAATGCCTTTGTTCAGGAGAAGTATGCTTCATAGCTTTAAATTCTGCCATTTTCTCTACAAGTCGTCTCTCCATTTGTTCTTCCATTCTTTCTTCCAGTTGTTGCATCCCTTCTTTTAAAGCACGGACTTCTTCTTCTGCTCTATGTCTTGCTTCTCTCTCCAACTGTAAGCTTGTTCTTGCTGTTGATTTAGTTCCTGGCAAACCAAGACTTGCAGGAGTGGGACCCATACCTATTCCAATCACTCTACCTCTGTTTTTCCTTACCAAGCAAGTTTGAAAGATAGTCTCCTTCTTCTATGGGTTTGTCCACAAATTATGGCTCCTCGGTGAGTTTCTCATCAATTTTAGCCTGCATTAGTGAAGACATGGTTAATTTCAAAAAGAGATGCAATTTGGCATTTAATAAATTTTACTTACAATTGTTACTTCATGAGCTGGTTGTGGTCTACCATCTTTACGAGTGTATGCAACTTTGAAAACTTCTGCTCGACTAACTTTTCGACCTTTTTTTTTCTCCTATGGTTATGTGATTGCAGAAGGTATTAGTTCAATGGAAGAAAAATAAATGGATAGATCAATAAAATTTCTTAGCCTAACCATATCATGACGAACATTTGCTAAGCTCCTAGTTCCAATGGTGTGTACTGCAACCATTTTTGCACGATTTGCTTTTCCACGATTGCTGCGGGCCTAATTGCATATATGCAATGTATGTCAATATGTTTTGCAAATCAAGAAAAGAATACAGAACATTTGAACTATGGCACTTACTTTGCCTTTCTCACTTCTCCAAAAACAAACAAGCCACTTCCAGACTTTTAGTGATATTCTTGAATCATGTTTTTTTCCAAAGTTCTTTATTAGTCTTCTCAGGGTCAAAATACTTAGCTTTCAGCCTACTTTTGAAGTCTTTCCATTTCTTGTGAGCTGATCTCATGACATAATCCTTTAAGCATTCATCCAAGTCAAAATACCTCTGAAAGTAGAGTATACAATAAGTTTCAGAGCAAAACTTCTTGTAAAATACTAATATTTATGAAACACTTATAATGTTGAATAAAAAGAAGAGGATTGTACCTTCACGTTATCCCAGACATCATCCTTGTTAGGCACATCAGTCCAATCTTCATAAGCAAGTGATAGGAATTTACCTTTGGCAAGATTGCCAATCACATTTGCTAACTTTGATGCATAGGGACCAACTGGTTGAAAATGCTCATTGTAGTCAACTTTCAGTTTTACATTTTCTACAATTGGCCAGAATGTTTCCATCATTGTGATACCTCTACCTCATTTTGGCTTTGTAGTTTCTTTGATATCAGCATTAGAATCACCTAAAAATTTATTGCAACAGTTATCCAAAATGCACATGCAGAATAAATTCAGGAAATAAGATAGAATCACTTACTTCCATCATATGAATCCATGTTAGCTTCAAAGGATTGATCCATATCATCCGCTTCGCTCAATTCTCTTAGATCATTTTCTTCATATGATTGGTCTTGTACATCTTCCTCACTGAAGTAGGCATCATGGCATTGAAAATCAACAGATTTGCTTGGCATATTTGAAGTAATTTGTCTTGTCTTTTGGGCATTCATTTTGAACTTCCCTGCTAGGTGTGGTAGGTGTTGCACAAGGACTTCATTGTTTCTTTCTATTTGCATCATGCGCTGAAGCTCATACTTATTTATTTCTACCCTTCCTCCACTTACTTTTTCTTTTGCCATTATTCCCCCTGCAATACCAGAAATTATGGCTATAAGATATAAGACCTGTATGATTCAAAACTAAAACAATGATGACAAAGCAACCTCAATACAAAATAATGTTGGACCATGTTACATAAAGAGCACAACCATACCGTTGAGAGACAGCAGCCAAATCAATAGTTGTTCCATTTATATCATTTCTAGTGAGATAATCATTGCCACAATCAACATCAATGTTGACACTATTGTTCATCACATCAACTTGGTCTTTTTGCTGATATACATCCTTCTCACTTTCACATTCAAGAATACCCATGTCATAGAAGTCCCTTGATTTTGATTCGCGAACAGCATACCAATCTTGATCTATAGGATCTCGAACATAATACACCTGTGTAGCTTGTGATGCTAGGATAAAAGGTTCATCGGCCAAACTATTGGTATTATTAGACAAGTGGTTAAAATTCACAAGTGTAACCCCATATTTATCTTTCTTAACACCTTTGCCACGAGACAGCTTAATCCAATCACACTTGAATAGAACTACCTGACCTCTCCCACTATAATTTAACTCAATTATGTCAGTGATGTTGCCATAGTATGGCACTTTGCCAATGACAGGATTTATGTCTTTCACACTAGAGAAACTTGAAGTCTCAGCAAAAACAACTAGCCCACTACTTTGAGTTGATTTCCCTTCATCACAAGATTTTGTGCGGAAGTTATATCCATTTATAAGATAGCTGTTGTATGTTATAACATGCATATCAGGGCCTTTCGCCAAAATCTGAATTTCTTTTGATGGGTTTTCTCCTTTGGCCATTACATCCTGAACCTGTTGTTAAAATGGAACATCAATGCTATGCAAGCTATCAAATGGCTAGAAAGTAACTTTGGTGACAGTATCGCTTACATGTGTCCTAAACCAATCATGAAATGTCTCATGATGCACACGTTCAATATCTCTTGTTCTTTGAATTCCAGTTGATAAAATATACTCACGATGCTTTCTACATAGCATGCCAATTAGTACAAATGCATATTAGAAACACAACACATAAATATTCGAACATATGAAATTAATATATAGTGTAGAGCTTACTAAAGGTAGGGGCCAATTTGGTCAAAGTTGAATAGCACATATCTATGGGCTTGAATCCATGAGTTATAATCCAAGGTGTTATAACGTTTTCCAAGTAAATGCCGACCCATCTTACTCAAGTAAGACTTTTTATTTATGGTCTGGCAAGTCCCATCGTCATGTCGTCCTCGACGATTAAAACGAGTTGAACAACCATGTAAATAACGGGAACAAAAGGTAATACTTTCATCAAAAATATAATTTTCTGCAATTGAACCCTCTGGAAGGCTCTTAGCACGGACATATGATTTCAGCCTCATCCAGTACCTATACATGTTAGCAAGTGTCAATCAGAAGTACCTATGCACTAATATGGGTTAAGATAACAATTTTTTAAAAAACTTACCTCTCTATGGGAAACATGTTTCGGTATTGTACTGGGCCAGCCAACCTTGCTTCATGTGCAAGATGGATTGGTAAATGAAGCATTATATCAAAGAACGACAGAGGGAAGATTTTCTCAAGTTGACAAATTGTTTCAGCAATTTCATACTCCAACTCCTCCATCTCACTGATACGAATCACGGGAGAAAACATTTTCTGGAAGAAGTTACTTAGGCGAATTAGTGGTACACATACATTCTCAGGCAAAATTCTCCTAATGGCCAAAGGGAGCAGATACTGCAGAATCACATGGTTGTCATGGCTTTTTAGTCCAATCAATCTTTTCTCTTCCACACGAACCTTATTTGATATGTTGGATGCATAACCATCAGGAAATTTAACATCCTTTAGAACTTGATAGAACAGTTTCTTCTCATGAGCACTCAAAGAGAAGGCTGTTGGAGGCAAGAAAACTTTTGTCCCCTGCATAACTGGGTGCATATCTTGTTTTATCCCTAAACTTTGAAGATCCAAACGAGAATTGAGATTATCCTTGGACTTGCGGTCAACATTCAACAAAGTATTTACTATGTTGTCACAAACATTTTTCTCAATATGCATTATATCTAGATTGTGTCTAACTAAAAGATGTTCCCAATACGGCAATCTGAAAAAGCAACTTCTCTTTTTCCATATAACTGTGCTACCACCATCATTATTATCATCATCCTTACGTTTACGCTTCTTCTTCTCAGCTTTCCCAAAAACAACATTCAGATTCTCTGTCTCTTTCAAAATATCATGTCCAGAAGGTTGAACTGGAGCATCTCTAAGCTCTTTAGTTCCATCAAATGATTTTTCATCAAATCGGAAACTGTGATTTTGTGGCAAAAACCTACGATGTCCCAGATAACAGGTTTTCATACCCTTTTTCAGATATAGAGAACAAGTATTTAAGTGGCAATGCTGACAAGCAAATTTTCCTGAAGTAGGATGGCCTGACACATATCCAAGCCTTGGGAGATCAGTAATGGTGTAAAGAATAGCAGCTCGTAGTTGGAACCACTCATCACGTGAGACATCATATGTCTTTACACCTTGTTCGAAAAGATCCAAAAGCTCATCTACCAAAGGTTCAAAATACACATCCATATCATTTCCTGGTTGTGTTGGCCCGGGAATAAGCAAAGACAATATAAAATTGTGTTGTTTCATGCACAACCATGGTGGGGGATTGTATGGAATTAAAACAACAGGCCATGTACTGTGACTAACACTCATATTTCCAAAAGGATTGAAGCCATCTATCGCTAACGTGAGTCTAATATTACGACTCTCAGCACCAAATATCGGGCATTGCTGATCCAGATTCTTCCAAGCAGGAGAATCTGCGGGATGTCGTAATAAGCCATCTTTTGTCCTGCCCTCAGCATGCCAACGCATATCTGAGGCTGTCTTTTCTGACATAAAAAGCCTATGTAACCGTTTCTTCAAGGGAAAGTAACGAAGAACTTTTTGAGGAACCTTATGAACTCATTTTCCATCAATCCCTGTTTTTTCAACCTTCCACCTAGAGGTATTACATCTTGGACAAGTCTTCGCATTCTCATACTCTTTCCGAAACAGTATGCAATCATTTTTACATGCATCAATGTTGATGTATCCTAGACCCAGTGACTTGACGATCTTGCTAGCAGCATGAAAGTTGTCTGGCAACTATGCTTCCATAGGGAAAGCCTCCTTAAGAAGTACAAGGAGCTCATCAAAACTACTATTGCTCCACCCACCCAAAAATTTTACATGGAGAAGTTTTATGATAAACTGAAGTTTTGACATCTTGCTCCCTGGATATAAATCTTGGCTAGCATCAGCAGCTAACTTATAGAATTTTTCAGCATCTTCACTATGTTCACCCACATCCCCATCACCTTCTACAGCATTGAAATCATTAAATCCAAGTCCATTTCGTAGCATTGCATCCATATCATCAAATTGCTGACCTTCTGTCTCTGACTCCATGCAAACATTGGTTCTATCTAAGGTTGAGCCCTCCCCATGAAAGAACCATTTACTATAACCCCGCATAAATCCATCACATATTAGATGTTCGCGAACTAATTCAGTATTTAGCCAATGACAATTCATACATTTCTTGCAAGGACAAAGAATACTGTTGTCTTTTGCTGAATGAGTGAAAGCGAACTGCAAGAACTGTGCTAAGCCCTCTTCATATTCATCTGTCCACCTATTACAGTTGTCATGTTATTAATGTTATAACTTTTATATATGTAATTCCTCTAGCTAGTATAATAGTGCTTTAGTAAGTTATAGCCCTGTATTATCTAGGTTTTTTCAACCAGCTTTTGTCCGATAGGAATTTGTACAGAAAGTGCATTCAGTCCATACATGTACCAAAAGTTCTATGCATCCATTCCAACAGTGCAAAATCACATAAAGGAAATGCTAAGCTTTTAACAATCTGTACAAGAAAGAAAATATAGATGATTTGCCATATGTTCAGAAATTACCTCTGTAAAAATAATTGCTGAAGCTAGTTGGCAGCAGGGAGTGGGAAAGCAAATAGGTCACAGGTTGACATCAAATAGCTATGTTTCCTCTAGGTGCAGTAGAAACCTGAATAAATCAATTGCATACAAATTAATATGTCACATCCATGGTACTAAAAATAGCCCACATATCACAAAGAATCCTAACAAGATAACCAAATACAAGTACATGCAGTATAACGTAACCTAGAATAATACTCGGGATCGATTATCAA